AGAAAGGAGATATTTCCACAAAGGAAGAAAATGTGAAAAAAAAACTCTTTTCATTTACTTTTCCTTGTAAAAGCCAATTTAACTATGAATTTTAGTTCTTGTTAAAAATCTAGTACTGCGCTTAAATTCATTTTTCTAGGTTTTTGATTTTCTAAGCGTTGCTTAGATTTGGCCATTATCCAAAGTATATTATCTATTGATGAGGATCGAACTCTCTATTCAGTCGTAATTGTTTTAACGGGACAAGAGAAGCTAAACATTATCCGCCGAGGTGCTCAAAATGATTTTTCAAGCGTAAGCTCAGATGTGGCACATAGCATTCAGTATGGGGCACCCATTGAGGATCAAACTCATTACTCAGTCGTAATTGTTCTAGCCAGACAAGCTTGCTAACCATTACACCACCTCGAGGTGCCAAATCATAAAGTCTAGGTGTACCATAGAGAAGAGTTCATTCGAAGAGTGATTTTATATGTATGTTTAAAAATATACATGTGTCTTTTAGATATATAACTACAGTAATTTGCTTAATGGTGTGAAATTTTACTAAAGCCTTCGAGGATTGTTGTAAAAAAAAATGACATATGATAGAGTTATTGATATTTATTTTTTAATTTAATCTCAAAAGATGTTCTTGAAAAGTTATTGAATGATAGGAAAATAATGTTGAAACAGAACAGAAATAACAGAATAATAATAATAATAATAATAATAATAATAATAATAATAATAAAAATTAAACTTAAACCTTCACACGATAAAAACAAAGAAAATGGCTTCAAAAATAGCACAAAAAAGAATTTGTGAAAAAAAGCCGAATAAGCAAGAATGGGTGACTAATGAGGAAGAAAATATTTAAAGAAGTTAGTCATTTTTTTAAGCATTTCACCCTAAGCAAGACGGGAGTGCCACCAGCACGCAAAACTTTGAGAGTGAAAGTAAGAGTACAGACGGGTGTTTGAGGAAAGGCTAAAAAGAAGGACAGGGATCAAGATCAAGGCGACCTCAAGGCGGCATCAGAATGTCGATTGACATTACATTTGAATATTTCAAGATTATAACTATCAGGGAAGCAAGTAAGGGAAGGAGTTCCACTGTCGGGAAGTGCGAGAAATCCTGTTGAAGTAGAAGAAAACAGTCTTTGTTAACTGTTTCGACAGTAAAAACTAAAACTGATATGCCAACCCTATATAAAATTTAAATTCATGCAGTTTACTAGTGAAAATAGCTCCTCAATCGAGCAGTTGCTATGAAAATGTTTGTAGAAAAGACAGAGGAAAGCCACATCGCGTCGGTGAGAAAGTGACTGGAGTCGAGTACAAATACAAATAAAAGAGAAAAGATGTATCATATTAAGAACATTTTATTTAAACATAAAAACAGCCAAACTTCGAATGTTCCGTTCAGGACATGGACAATCATGGCTCTTCACAACTTCCTATCTTTTATAGCTCTTAGTGTGTGTTCTCTTTTCATCATCCCTCCCAGCACTTATTCTGTCCTTCATTTACACCAGCTATGTAGTTCGGCTTAAAAGTTCATAGGCTGACCAAGATACGCTCATGGAATGTGACCAAATGAAGTTTATTTTTTAACATAGGCCCCCACATTCTTTTTAACCACGCACTTCTTCCATCGGACTTGCAGTGCTTGAATCTTTCATACATATGGGCCATTCATACATATTTTTCGATGTCTGGTAAAACACTTACCAGCTCCTGTCTGGACACAGGTTTTCACGTTTCTTGTCACCATTATAGCATTTCGTCCTGGTCTCACACAAACACACACACACACAAACACACACACACACACACATATATATATATATATTATATATATATATATATATATATATATATATATATATTTTAAGGAATTTTTTTTAAACGACATCTAAAATATTATTACAATTAGATTTACGTTAGGAATATTCAACACAGTGGCGTTCCATATCATGTGACGTAGACGCTATATATATATATATATATATATATATATATATATATATATATATATATATATATTATAAATTAATTGATTTAAAATTTGTTTTTTTTCGCTACACAGTTCTAACCATGTTTCAAAAATGGAAGCTAAAAAGCTTTGAATTTAATTTTGTAATTAAATTAAAGACATTATTTCCATTTCATCCTCAAGCGAATTTTGGAGTAACTTTTAAAATTATTGGGTTTTAAAGACACAGTTAAAATCATAATTCATGTTTCCAAGGTTACAGATGAATCCAATTTAATCAGACAATTTATTACAATATCTGTATTTTAATGTATTAGTTATTGCTACATTTTTTGGTAGTGGGTAGGGATGTATTTTTTTTGAAATCTAACATCCGTTAAATGCGTGTCGTCTGGATTTTTTAAATGTTATTGTTAACGGCTAAAATTCTTACACATTTTTTTTTCCTTGTATATTTAAAGATTTTTTTGGGGGGTTTAGGTAAGAATACTTTTTATTTAACTACAATTTGAAATATTTTTAACTTTTAATTTTAATATACTATATTTTTTCAAGAACAATTAAATGTAATTAGAATCCCTTACAGTTTCTAGAATTATTATCATCAAGTATATTACAAATTTTTAAAAAAAAATATATTCAAATATTATTTAAGTAAAATTTTCATTTCTCTGATTTAGTAAACTTTATTTATTTATTTAATTACAATTTAAGAAGTTTAGGTTAGAATTCATTTTAAGGAACTACAATTTTAATTACAACTTTAACAACTTTCGGGGCTTTTAGCTTTTTTTTAAAAAAGTAAATTTGCGAATAAATAATTTTACATTTACCTGTTCTTTCTCTCATTTAAAAATATATATATATATATATATATTTATATATATATATATATATATATATATATATATATACACGCACACACACATACACACACACACACATATATATATATATATATATATATATATATATATATATAAAAAAATATATACGGAAAAAAAAAACAAAAATCCTTATATACAATTATGCTGTTTTTTTGTTAATATGTATGTCAACGTCAGACGTTTCGGTCTAATAAACCATCTTCAGGACATATTCATAAATTATAGCATTATCAATGCAACATGACAAAGACGATGTACATAAGAACAAGACTTATCCAAACAGATAACTGAAAGTTTTACAAGATCACATACACACGCACACATATATATATATATATATATAAAACAATTATTGGTCAGAATTAAATTAGACTTGGAATCAGTTGTATTAAAAAAATACACATTTTTTTTTTTTAAAAAAAAAAATTTAACGCGCAGAGCTTTTTAGCGTAATTAGGTGATCCTTTAACTTTTAAACTTATATATATATATATATATATATATATATATATATATAGAGAGAGAGAGAGAGAGAGAGAGACAGACAGACAGACAGGCAGGCAGACAGAGAGAGAGAAATAGATAGATATATGAATAAAGACAAAAGGAAAGCTTATCTTAGCCAACGTGTTTCGTCCTCTGAGGGACTTTATCAAGGGAAATCTAAGGATTTTATTTGGAATCTGTGATAACCCCACAATCTATGAGAGATCCCTGCCACTCTACAACATCTCAATTTTCATGAGGTAATATTCATATAAAATACAAATTTTATTGTAAGCTAATTATGTACAATATCGCATCATATTCAATATATCTGAACAACTGAACTAGAAAAATTGAAATTAAATACAATGTATCTAAAAACAAATTAAAATCACGTCATAATAGATCATTCTATCTTAAATAAATCAATGTTTTGCGGTATTTTTTTACTTTTTTCTGGCTAAAAGTTGAATAATTTTAACACATTCAACATTATGGATAAAAAATAGTGAATTTTAAATAGTGTTTTTTTTTGTTTTTTTTTCATGGTTTTAGGAAAAAAAAACCCATCCCAGAATGACGTCCATATCCGTGAAAATTTGTTATCCTTTAATAGTTATTTGTGATTAGTTTAATTTGTAACGTATACAAATGTCGGTATAAAAAAAGTAAATGTTGATAAGATAGATAGCGAGGGTCACAAAACACGTCCCGGGACCCCCAATCAAGCTTGGAGGTTGACAAGATTTTTTTTTTTTTTTTTTTTGATAGAAATCATTTGACAACAAACTTCGCTAAAAATAACTTCTGCTTTTTAAAAGTACTTTCTATGAATTAATTTTAATCAGGGCCAGTGCAAAGGTCTCATGTCACCCCATCACCTCCAAAAATCTACCCACACCTGGAATCTATGCTCTTGGGGGGGGGGTCACCTCCAGTCTATTACATCTAAATTTTCATAAGGTGATATTCATATAAAATAAAATATTTTATTGTAACTTAATTATGTACAATAATGGAACATATGCTATATAGGTGAACAATTCAACTAGAAAAATTGAAAATAAATACAATATATCTAAATATAAATTAGAGACATGTCATAATAGATCATTCATTCTAAGTTTTGCAGCAATTTTTAACATCAACTTGAGATTTTCTCTGTTAAAAAGTTGAATAATTTCAACGCAGTATTTTTTATCCAACATCATGGATAAAAATTTTCATAGTGTGTTTTCGAGACTTAGCATGAACAAATTTTGAGGAAAAAAATAAAAAAATAAAAAGACCCTAGAATTACGTTAAAATACGCGAGAATTTTTCATCTTTTAATAGTCAGATGTGCTTAGTTTAATTTGTAACGTATGTAAATGCAGATAAAAAAATTGCAAATAATGATAAGATATCGAGGGTAACAAAGCGGTGCTCTCAAGATCCCACACCATCGATGCACATTTTAATACTTTTATTAGTTCGATTAAAAAAAAAAAAATTCATGATCATGGGCCAACCGTTGATGAAAAATGGTTTCTTTCTGATAATTGGAAATATGACTTCCTTTGGGTGGTCCAACTTGTTCCGTACTCAACCTTCCCCAAAATCAAATATTCATCCACCTACAAATTCTCCAAATCGTTTGGTGACGCTGTAATGAAGTGAGCCATTAAAACATTCTTTTCTTCTTCTATGTGCCGTGTCCCTTCAGGACGTTGGTAATTATTGCTCTTCACAATTTCCGATCCTTTGTAGCTTTTAATAAAATCTGTTTCTCTCAGTTTCTTTCTTTCTTTCTTTCTTTCTTTCTTTCTTTCTTTCTTTCTTTCTTTCTATTTAGTCCAGTTTGAATCTATCTATCTATCTATCTATCTATCTATCTATCTATCTATCTATCTATCTATCTATCTATCTATCTATCTGTTTTGTCCAGTTTGAACGTATGCATCTATCTATCTATCTATCTATCTATCTATCTATCTATCTATCTTGTCCAGTTTGAATCTATCTATCTATCTATCTATCTATCTATCTATCTATCTATCTATCTGTTTTGTCCAGTTTGAATCTATCTATCTATCTATCTATCTATCTATCTATCTATCTATCTATCTATCTATCTATCTATCTGTTTTGTCCAATTTGAATCTATCTATCTATCTATCTATTCAACATTTTAAATATCTATCTATCTTTTCTATCTGTTATGTCCAGTTTGAATCTATTTTTCATTTTATCTTTGGTATCTATCTATCTATCTATCTATCTATCTATCTATCTATCTTGTTTAATTTGAACGCATGCATCTATCTATCTATCTATCTATCTATCTATCTAAATAGACAATATCTATCTATCTATCTATCTATCTATCTATCTGTTTTGTCCCGTTTGAACGTATGAATCTATCTATCTATCTATCTATCTATCTATCTATCTATCTATCTATCTATCTTTATCTAAAAAATAGGTAAGAAAATTTAAAACTTCTTTTAACTTTTTTAAAAATCAATTATCTTTATTTTTTAATTAATTTATTTCCATGTTAAAAGCTTCTTGGAAAATATTCATTACAATTTTAAAGCTAATGAACAATAAAAAATAAAAATGTGTATTACATTAAAAAAGAAAAAAAAGAATTGGGATCAAATACAAATCAAATATAGACTAAAATCTCGGCAGAATGATAGGACAACGAACAAATATTAACCGTTTATAAATCTCACATATTTCGCTTTTTACTAAAACTTCATCAGAGAATAAGATAAGATGAAAAAGAAAGAAAGACTAAAAAGGTTCTGGTATTTTTTTTTATTTTTGCGCTTAAACAATGAAAAATAAACAAAAGAAAAATTAAAATTTCAGAATTTCTTCTCTTTCATTCTTTTTTCGCCATATCTGGTGGTGATGAAACTTTAATTTTAAGAAACATGTTTGGATTTCAGTTTGTTTCTTTAAATTTATCCCAAATATATACACACACACACATCAGTAACACACATATATATATTTATATATATATATATATATATATATATACATACATAAATATATATATATTTCTTTATATATATATATATATATATATATATATAAGAAATATAGTCTTAAGATGTGCTATTTTTTGGATAATGTGCTCAATATCAGAGATAGAGCATGTGTAAATATAAAGTTGTGAACATTGAAGTCAACACTTAGAGGAAACAGTCTGTTTCATGCTATATGACAATCGTATGTTTGTATAAATATATAAATATATATATATATATATATATATATATATTCATATATATATATATATATATATATATATATATATATGTATATAAATGTGTATAAGTGTGTGTGTGTGTGTGTGTGTGTGTGTGTGTGTGTGTTCAAAATATCCATTAGAGATAAACTATAAAAGGTAAATTTGTTTGAGCTTATTTGGAGCAATTGGCTCTGTATTCAACTCCTACTTTTAAAATTGAAAAAAAATAAAAAATTAAACAAATATTAATGAGTAGTTTCTTTTTAATCAAACCATTTGTTAGAAAGTAAATTTCATGAAAAATGCTAATTAAAAAATACTTTAATATATATATATATATATATATATATATATATATATATATATATATATATATATATATATATTTTTTGTGTGTGTATGTTTTAATGAAACCAGAGATTCTAAATGTTAGAAAGAGAATTATATTATAAAGTTTGAAGTCATCTGACGAACTTGTTAATTATAACAACGTTTTACCATATTTGACAGATTCATTGGCTTTTATATCTTGTAAACAGTATTCCAAACGGAATCCTTTATGTCTTCCCAAAGTGATAAATGTGTATTGGATATATCAGAATATCATTTGGTTCTTTTTAAAAGCAATGAAATATATATATATATATATATATATATATAAATATATATATTATTATTATTATTATTATTATTATTATTAAAATTTTATTAAATTCAAATATTAGTAGAATTTTTATTTACATAAATAAATTCATGTTTCGATGTTTACTAATACATCTCATTTATGTTAGTAAAGACTGATTATTACAATTGTTAAATGATAAAATTTACATTACAAATACCCCATTCAAAATTAAAAATGTAACAAGAAAGACTATTTCAATCCAGAGAAATATAAAGAAGACAAAGGAAAAAGAAAGAATTATGTTTATAATCGATTCAACCAATCAAATCGGCTTATGCTAATCAGATGTCATAGTCGATTTTCCAATTTTCAACGAATACAAACGCTATATTTGAAATAAAGTCTTCTCAACATAGGATTCTTTTGGCTCCATTTATTAATTGCCTTCATAAATAAAGAAAAAATTAAAATTTAACGAATGATTTAATCTCTTTTTTTTCTTAAATAGTTCAGGCTAATTTGTCATTGTTTGGTCATTCCTTTATTTGAGTAAAAATTATTTTATTAAAGAAGTTCGAAACGTTTAAGAATTTAAATCAAGGAAAACTTACATAAATGATAATGTTTATAACGAAATTTATGGTGTCGAGCTTTGTAAAATAAATCTTTTTTTTTTTTTTTTTTTTTCTCTAAATTTAACGTCAAACAGCTGACACTTCCTATAAGTCGGGGAAAAAAAAAATTTAACAATGGCTAGTAGATAAATAATTTGGCAATTAAGAAAAAAAAATGAAAAAAAGGAAAGAAAAATATTTAAGGAATTCAACGATTCTTTAAAGATCAAACAAAATTCTTCTATAAAAGGCAATGTGTGTGTGAAGTATAAACGAATGCACTGCCGCAATTTTCGATGGATTTTTATGACCAAAAAATCCATGCACATGCTCCAATTAGCAGAAAAGGCCAATACCGACTTTGCATTTCCCAACTGTCATCGATAATGGAAATAATTGATTTTTCATGATTCTCCGCAGTTTTCATGTAGTTTGCTGCCATTTTTTACTGGCCAACTAATTTTTCTTGCTGCCAAATCTTGAACAGGAAGATTCTATTGGCCAGCGTGAGAGCCAACAGCTGATTGACACGAATGTTAACTAGCATGAATAAAATGCAAAAAAAATTTTTTTATGCATTCGTCAAACAAGTGGGAAAATTTAAATCTGCATGGCAAAATTTCTCCAATTGGCTCATTCTTTTTTTAAACTCAACGTTTATTCTGATTCCGCAGAACTGAGTTGGGTGTGAAAAAATTTTTTGTTGTTAACATTCTTTTTTCATTCGGTTTTTTAGTTTAAAGTCCTTTTTTAAAGCTGATCGTTTTAATTCCTTCATTTTGTTTAGTTCTTTTTCGTAACAGATTTAATGTTTAGTATTTTCTTAGAAAAAATTTTTTGTCAGATAAGCAAAAATTAAAAATGTAATAAAAATCAAAAAAATAAATATAAAACAAAGTCCTTTAAAGGCAAAAATAAGGGCAAAAAAAAAATTTTAAAACAAGTTATAGCGATTGCTGTATGAATAACGTTCGATTTTTGAATCAAAGCACGGGCAACGCCAAAATGTTTATAGTAATTAAATAAATATAGTATTAATATAAATTTTTAAATTATATATCATATAAAATAATAAAATAAAAAATTATTAAATTATTTATTTTTCTATAAAAATTGCAAGAGCCAAAAAATAAATTCACGAAGTCTCGTCCCTTTTCGAATGCAGCAATATTAAGCATTAAAACAACTATCAGTCAGTTATGTGCCATGATATAAATGGATATTTTTCATATATCTTTATATATATGACTATATATAGAGTAAAGTTTTTTTCGCATCTCTAGTTATAAAACCCGGTCTGTCCTGTTATTTATCCCATAGTTAACTATAAATAAAAAGATTCATATCTTTCCCAAGGGTATTAGCATGTAAGTGGATGTAATTCAATTCGACTGGAATTCGAACTCATTCCGATTCCTTTCCAGCTATATCATTAATCTACCATACCAACTATATTCATCAAAAGGTCTAACAACTAAAAATAAGCTTTATATGTTTAAAAATTAAATTTCAACAAATTTTTCCGTCTAGCAAGATCGCATATGAAGGGTAAAATGTTTTTACAATATGACAGATATATTCAAATCTTTAATTTAATCATCACTATTTAAAAATCTGATTACCAGCATTTTGGTCGGGATATATCTGATATATATATATATATATATATATATATATATATATATATATATATATTTAACCTTAAAATGATTAGACAATAAAAACGTTAAAACAACATTTTTTCAAAAAATGAATCTGACAGAATAAGAAAAAAGAAATTTTTTTAAAAATCAGAAAAATGATTCTGATAAATTGAAATTTAAGTAGATTTTATTGATATTGCAATTAAATTTTTGATTATAATAATCATCATTTTCAATATATATATATATATATATATATATATATATATATATATAATTATATATATAACGATGATTATAATTGTGATTTTATAATGCGATGAAATTATGATTTTTTCGCTGTCGAAAATGACATGAATTTAATTCAATGTATCTACTTTGAATCTGATCTCTCTCCTCCCTCATGTTGTTTTTTTAACTTGTCCGGTCCTTAAAGGCAAAAGTTTTTTCTAGGTCAAAATCGGCTCATTCTTCCTTTGTTTCCTTTCTTTTGTAAATTTTCTCTCACAAAATCTTTCCCTATCTCTTCTTTTCTTCCCTTCCAATTTTTTAAAACCTCATATTGAAAAGAATGTTTTTTCTTTTTTAAAAAATTAATATTTTAAAAACAATGATTTCTTTTTTTGGTCTCCTTTTTTTTTCGTTTGGATTTAATTGACAAATATTTATTAGAAAACGTCGGCATGAAAGAGATATTATATTTTTAGTATATGGATGAAAAAAATTATAACCCGATGGATTTTTAAGGATCGTCTGGACTCATCATTAAAATTGCAAAAGATCTTAAAATTGAGCTATCTTTGGATTAATGTTCTTTTGAATTATCTTACACATTATAAAAAACAGATTTTTTGTTTAATGTGTGTGTGTGTCTGTACGTTTATATATTTGGATCGGATTTCCTACATTTTTCAACCGATTTCAACAAAACTTCACAGGACTACGTAAAATTACCTTGTGGTGGTTCTGAAACCGCCAAAAAATTGGAAAAAAAACAATTGTTTTTGCACAAAAATCAATTTTAAAACACAATTAAGAGGCATTAATGAAAGGGGGACAACTCATATCGAGTTATATAAATTAATATCGAGTTATCATATTATATTGTTATTATAAAATGGTTGGTTGGTTGTGTGTGTGTGTGTTTCGTTTATATATATGGGATCAGATTTCCTACATTTTTCAAACGATTTCAAATAAAACTTCACTTTTTTTTGGCAGGTAGTGTTTCTTATTGTCTTGCACACTTTTTTT